AGTGATATCAATTAGGTTTCACTATTTTTATTTTTTAAAAAAATTATTTGAATGATTTAACTTAAATTATTACTACATTAATTAAATCAAATAATTGTTTTATAAAACTATATTATAAATTCAATATATTTGGGTCCAATTTATTGTATGGTCCAATATTAAACCAACTTTGGCTTGCCTCGTAGAAGCCCAAAGTTTCTATGCACATTTAGTTAGGGCTGAACATTCAGATTTTTTCTTCGGATTTCATCAAATTCGACCCGATTCGAGAATTCAAATTTTTTTAAAAGGATAATTCCAACTTAACCGAATTAATTGAAATTCAAATTAGAGAATCCAAACCAAACTGAGAGATTCGGAAAAAACAAAATTAAAACTTAAAAAATTTGATTGAAAAAAATTTGAATCAAACTGAAAAATTCGAAAAAAAAACAAAACAAAATTAAAACTTCAAAATTCGAAAAAAAATCAAAACTTCAAAATATGAAAAAATCCAAATCAAACTGAAAAATTTGAAAAAAAAAATAAAAAAATATTTTATTATGTTTTCTTTGAATAATATTTTTTTTAAAAAAAAAGAAAAAAAGAATCATAATATACTAAATATGGCACAAATAAACATGCTATAAAACCAACATACTAAGAACATATATTTACAAATAAATCTGCTAATGCAAGGAACAAACTAATTACAAATTTCAACAAATAAACTTTAGGGTGTGTTTGTTTGAAGGATTGGATTTTAAATCCACTGTTCATCCAATTTTTTTCTCCCCAAAAACATCAAATCAAATACCTATTTTTTATTTTTTATATTATAGTAAAAATCAATTTTACGTTCAAAACATCGCATCAACACCTATTTATATCACATCATACAACTATTCAAATTCAAAATTTTTACTATTCAAATCCCAAATCAAAATCCAAACCCCCAAACAAAATTCAGATTTAATAAATGAATTCAATTCAAATTTCAACAAACAAACTAATCACAATAAATCTACTAATGCAACAAATAAACTAAGCCAAACTAAATCTCTTGATGCAACAAACACACTAAGCAAATTCATTCATTCACAATTATACTATAATGATTATTTGCTTCAAACCAAATTCAATACACCATTAACTATTTAATCAATTATTTCCGACTAAAGAGTAAAGGCTTGCAAAGTGAACAACAATAATTATGTCAATAAAAATTTTAGTAACTTACAACAAAAAGATAGATAAATGGAAATTTAATTAAACTTATAGAAGTAATTTAATTAAACTTATAGAAGTATAGAAGGTGTACAGATTGTCGTCTCTCATCACAGTTGCGCCGTTGTTGGAGATGGAAGTAATAAATATGTCATATCTACATAAATAAATTTATTATTTTGTACACACACAGTAAAATAATTAAAATTCAAAATACTCCCACCGTCTCATATCTAGGTATATGTTTATGTTTTGCACAGAGTTTTAGAAATATTAATATTATATTTGAATTTAGTATGAATAAAGTAGAAATTACTAAAATAACCTTATTAGTATTGTGTGATATAAAAGTAATGACATTTGTGTACTATATTGTAAGTTGTAAAGGTATTTATAATGTTAGGTAGATAATACATTTACTAAAAAAGGAAATAAATACTTTGTTTTGAGACGGACTAAAATGGAAAAATAGATAGTTTGTTATGGGACGGAAGGAGTAATAAATTTAAAAATGCATAAATTTTAAATATTAAAGTACTTTTTTCTATTTTTTCGATATCTTGAAGAATTTCCTCAATACTAAAATGAGCAGATTTGTGAAGCCAATCTTGAGCACATACGAGATACTCCACGACTTTAGGACTTAAAAGAGCTCCTAAATAGATCAAGTACTCATTTTTAGGTGCTAAATACCGACTCTAACGCTACAGTTGACACAAATACTACTAGAATATCGTAGACTACTTGGAAAAGTATGAGATATTTATATTTATTATATTTTCCACCAAAATATATAATTTTGGTCCTCCATTTTTAGTATCTTCCTTAAGAAAATTAAGGATATCATTATCATCCTCTTTCTATGAAAAGTTTAGCGTATAGATCTCATCGTTCTCAATACATCTTTTAGTACTTCATTATCATCAAGTCTAACAATTGAAAAATCTTTTTCTTCTTTTTCATCACTTATATATATATATATAAATTGATTACTTGTAATCACTGCACATAGTATACAATTCATCTTCAATTTATTTTCCAATTAAGTTAGTCAACTTAACAGCATGCATATTTGACAATGCAAGTGTCACCTACTTCAACTTGCATCGAGGATCAACAATAATGGTCATAAATATTATCTTATTAATATTATTTGGATCTTTCCAATATTTGTCATATATTTCTTTCATATTTTTTGTCATTTAACTTAATTCATTATCGTTACCTTCTATGAAAGTCTTTAATTAATATGTACTTTGTAAATTTTATGAAAAAATAAGTTAGAGGCAACATATGAAGACCAAAAATCTTACCAATCACCTCATGAAAAATTTAAAATTTTGAAATTTCTAAAACTTTTTGATAGTATTTAATTTAATTTATTTTTTTTAAAACTTTTTTTGAAGGTAACCAGTTATCGAGAAAATGTAATAAATTTTAATAACTTTATTTCTCGTTAAAGATAACGAGTTTTGTTATAGTAAAAATTGAAAAGACAAAGATAAAGGTAACAGAGAAGGTGATTGTAACAGATGCTCTTATGATAAATTATAATAAGAGTCTGTTTGAATTGGTTTAAAAAATAAGTAGAAGTCAAAAGCATAAACAGTTTGATTTTATGTTTGGATAATAATTATAAAAATAGCTTTTTATAAAAAACTGTTTGAATATAATAAAGTTAAAAGTGCTTTTGTTAAAATAACCAATTAGGACATAGTAATGTAAATAATATATTTTTTATTAAATTTTTCTGATTTATTTATTCATAAATTATATTTAAAAATTTTAAATTATCTAAACTAATTAAAAATATATTTAATTAATTATATTTTTATTTTTTATAAAAATAAATATAAAAATTTAAAATATAATTAAATCTAAATAATATTATTTTACAAATTATTTGAGCTTTAAAAATACAGTATTAAATATCTACTATATAGTTAAAATTTATATTTTTAAAATTTGATATCTTCAATTATATATTTTAAATTTAATTAAAATAAAAAATATATAAAATACAATTATATTTAAATTTTATATAAATGAATTATTTTTATTTTATTGATTGATTGATTTTATTATTATTATTATTGTTGTTGTTGTTGTTGTTGTTAAAATTAAAATTTAAATAGTAAAATTGCTTCTATTTCTTTAAAACGCATCCCTCAGAAAAATACTTTTGGAATCTAAAAGCTGCTTTTGCTTCGGAGGAAAAGTCAATACAAATATAAATAAAATATTTTTTTTAGAAGCAGAAGTCAAAAATACTTTCTAAAAGTGAATCCAAACGGAGCCTAAATACATAGTTGTATATATGCATTATATATATGTATTCAGTGGCGTAGCAAAGGGCCAAGGGTGTTGGACTTCCTGTAATAATTTTATTTTATTTTCAAAATTTAATGTATTATATAGGTATAATTTTTAAAATTTAGATAGAAGATCACTTTTATTGATTTAATTAACAAAATTACTATCTTCATCCTGCTCTAAGGTTATATTTACTTTTTTAGTGTAGATTTTTTAATATTAATTATTATACTAAAATATAGTACAAAATTAAAGAAAAATGACAAAAATATTTTTATTAGTGTCTTCTAACACTAATATAATGATATTTATAAAAAAAATATATATACATATATAAATTTATTTTTAATATTAATACAATGGCGCAAAAGATAAATGTAACCCTTATATCTAAAAAGAATTAAACTAAAGAACGATAAACTAAAACTTTGACTATTTGTTATGCAAGTATTTTTAATTTTACTCATTTTTTGCCTCCGACAATAAAATCTTCCTCTCCACCATTATATATATATATATGTACTAATAAATAGTATATATATAGATATATATATACATATGCATAATGCATGTGAATGTACAAGTAGTTAGGGTGTGTTTTTTTACAGGGGTTTGAGGGAATTTGAGTTAGGGTTTTATTTTTATTTAAATTTTGGGATGTGTTTGAATTTTATTGTTTCCTTTGTGTTTGTGTTTGGTTAGGATTTTGGGAGTTTTGATGAGTATTGATTTGATGAATAATGAATAAAATATTATAAATGTGTATTAAATTTAATTGATAAAATTTATATTGTATAACCTGATTATGAATTTATAATGTACCCAATATATATATTTAAATTTTTATTTATTTATAATATAGAAAATTTTATTCTCTAAAATGACATATATTATATATATTTTATTAAATTATAATATAAATAAATATCAAATAATTATAATTTCAAATTCCTGTGCACGGCTGTGCATAAGACCCTTGAACTTTTCGAATTTAAATAAAGAAAATAAAATAATAAAAAGCTGTAACATGTCAGCATAACATGTCAGCATCTGTCAGAAAAAAATTGGGTGAGTTTCACGCCAGTTTCCAAACCTACAGCAAGAAATCATAGGATCAGGTACCAAAGATTAACATCATGCTGATATTTTTTAAACAGCAACAATTGCAATTCTATAAAATACCTATTAAAACTCTAGAAAACACCAATCAATTAAATAAATTGGAAACTATTGAAAAAGTTAATTATTAAACGCCTTCTATATGTTTTATTTTAAAAAGTTCTTTCTTTTCTGAGATTTTTTTGGAAGTAGTTTATATAGTACATTATTTTATTAAAAAATATATAATTTTTCATATAAAAAATTGTAAACTTCAATTAGTAAAAATGTTGAAAAAAAGAAAATGCTAACCAAACACTCTCAAATTGAAGGCAATTACAAAAAAAAAAAAAAAAAAAAAAAAAAAAAAAAGACAGAAGAAATTGAAAATATGGCTCCTCAGAGTGAGGGTGTTATTATAAAAGATGTAACAAATCATACAATACATCAACAAACCATAAGTAACGTCACATGAAATCCTTACACAAAGGGGAGAGATTGATCGTCAAATCACTGTAGAAATGAAACTAAGCAGTAAGGAGGTATGTATATGTATGTATGCAAATATATATATATATATGTATGTATTATCGACAAGCAGCTATAGTGGGTGGGGAGAGGAGTGGCCCAGAAATCTAACAGCACAGGTTGTGTCATTAATCACCTCTTCTTTGATCCCAGAATGCTTTTTTATTTCTTCTTCATTAGGCCTGTTAGAACAACAATCGAATTTTATTTACTAGACACTGCATCACACCACAAGGCATGTATATATATATATATATATACACACATATATATATATGTGCAATTAAACGAGACCCTACTACTTACAGTAGTAGTACTGGCTGCGGGCATGGCACAATTCTGTGTCATATAGAGGCATGTGCTTTGCCATTTATATATATTGTACTGTATATATATATATATGTCTATGGTGCTGAAATCAATAATATAACTATTATATGAAATTATATTACGTGCTGTTAGAATATGTGCAATATATTATATTATCATGTGTTATCAAATATGGTGTTATCTGTATTGCTGATTTATGGAGAAGGGGGAAAAATATCTTACATGTATACAAAATTATCATTTTTATTCTTTATTTATCTCGATGATAAAATATATTCTACGTCATTTGGCCACGCGTGGCTGCGTGAGACAGCCAATGACAGCAATGACTACTTTTGCAAACGTGTTGAATATATTTTGCAGTGAGATAAATAAAAAATACATAGAGGATGTTTTTTGCAATTTTATCCTGATTTATGGGTCAAAAAGTCAGCATGAAAACCGAACTGTAGTAACACTACTAAGTACCTTATTGGCAATGTTGTTGGACAACCAGTCGAGACCCTCGTATAGCCCTTCTCCTGAGGTAGCACATGTGCTCTGGATATACCTAACCATAGAAAGACCTTTCTTATTTATTATGTTCAAATAACAAAAGACATTGTTAATACTCATACTTTATGAATTGAATCAAGCACGTACCAGTGACGTTGTCGGAGAGAATGGAGGCCAAGCTTGTCGGTGATCTCGGCAGCATTCATGGCATTTGGAAGGTCTTGCTTGTTTGCAAAAACAAGGAGTACTGCATCCCTCAGTTCATCCTACCAGCCATTGTATCAATCAAAATTAACTAGAGTATCGCTTACTATTGCAATTGCAATTATCAAAATCGAAATACCACATTCACTACATTTATCTATGAATGAAGATGCTTGATAACAAGTATTAATAATACTAGCAATTTCTGCATCATCCCTATCCGCAGATAGACATTTTGGTACCTCATTCAACATCCTATGAAGCTCATCTCTGGCCTCAACAACACGATCTCGGTCATTACTATCCACCACAAAAATCAGACCTTGGGTGTTCTGGAAGTAATGCCTCCACAGTGGTCGGATCTGATATCAGAGTAAACATCAAAAGTAGGTAATCATGGTCAAGAGATTGGAATTTAATTAATGAAACATAAAAATGCACTTTGACGCAATAAGTATGCTATTTAAAATGTTTATAAACAAATTTTTCTAGTTATACCTTGTCCTGACCCCCAACATCCCAGACGGTGAAGCTTATGTTCTTGTATTCCACTGTTTCCACGTTGAATCCTGGATATCATTTCATATAGTATTCTTAGAAAGGCTGATGCAAATTATTTGACAGTTAAATCACAATAACTGGAAAAGTGTTCCTAATAGTGACAATATGCATATTGCAGTGTGTAGCTATTTACTTGCAATTTCAAATCTGTTTTTTTTCGCCTTGTTCAATCTTTTATTTTTCCTTCAAAATAATTACATCAAATACCTATTTTCATTTCAAACTTCACATCCAATCATTTTCACCAAAAAACATCAAACCCAAATCACTACACACCCTAACTTTGTCTGAGTATACCAAGACAGATTACAGAGACTATTAGCTCAAGAGTGAAAGAGAATTTAAATGCTTTGCACAAGAACAACTAAACATTACAACAATCCACAGAATGACATGAGACTCATCACTAATGTTCCAATCTATGTGTCCCCAGTTATGTTAGCATTGGGGTGGCTGCTGGGTCCAGGAGAGTGTAAGAATGACACAGTGCAAAACCAGGGTACAATGAGGAAAGTATAGATCAATTTTGCACAAAAGTCGAAAGAGACAATATTAGATGGGCAACTACATGGTTTATTTCATTAAATAGAAATTGGGGTGAAACAGAAAGTTCTGGATATTATAAATTGTAGGGCCAATACACTACAAGCTTACCAATTGTAGGAATGGTTGTCACTATTTCTCCCAGCTTGAGCTTGTATAATATGGTAGTTTTACCAGCAGCATCAAGACCGACCATAAGAATTCGCATTTCTTTCTTAGCAAATAAGCGACTGAAAAGCTTGGTGAAAGACAACCCCATTTCTTTGCCTGTTCACAGAATAAAAATTCCAAAGAGAGGCCTCACTGATATAGATGGTCATAACACTGTACTTTCTTGAATTAAACTTTCAGTGATACTAAGAGAACAGAGAAGCATTCATTTGTTACAGTGAAGCAAGACCAAAAAATATAAAGAGCTTATGATTCGAGCTATAATTCAGCACAATTTTTTTAGGATTTCTGAGATAACATCAAGAAGAAGGCAATAACTAGAGATATAAAGAAACAAATTCATGTTTTTATCCAACATTCCTAGATTCAGTTCTCTCATCTCTGGCATTCAGCATTTCTTCTTCGGGCAGATAATCTGTTTAACTTCAACAAACTAATAATCACCCCACTAGAAATTAATCAAAACAGAGCTTAAACCATCATAGATCAGTTTCTACGCACCACCCTAAGAAAATCACCGCTTCAGTAGACCCAATGTACATGAAATAGAATCCAGAATTCAACTATCCGATTAAATCTTCGGAAAAAGAAAATGTCGCATCATATAATCGCCATAACCGACTAATATAGAGAATTTCAATCAATTAATTTTGCCCACACACGCAGTTCAGATGATAAAACAAATGGACACCGAGAGACAACAACCATAGCAACACACACCACACCTTCCGCCGACCCAAAAAAATAAATGTGTAAAAGGAAATCGAGGCAATGCTATATCTTCCGCGCTCAGATCTGCGATCGAACTCGTAGATAAATCAAATCAACGTTAAATGTGAAATGGATCTAGAAATCTTACGTGATGGAATGAGAAGCCGATGGAGAATGTGATTTCAGAAGTGTATTTGCCCCCAGGCTGCCCGTAACTGCTATATTTAAATAATTATTAGTCTTTCTTTACCGGGGGGTTTTAAATAAATGTCCTCAATAATTTTTTTCGAAAAACAGATTTTAATATAAAATAAATTTTTAATATAATATAAAAATTGAAAGATAGTTGTTTGAATTAATGTTATTTGGAAAAAAAAGTAGGATGAATACCCAAACAAACACAAGTTTGCAAAACTTGTTAAATTTACAAGGAAGGAGTTTTGAAAACTTTTTTAACTATATAAAGTTACATTTACCTTCTTGTTATTGTACTTAATATTAAAAATATTTTTATATTTGTATCTATATTTTTTTAAAATGTCATTTTATTAGTATTATAATACATTAACGAAAGTATTTTTGCAATTTTTTTCTTAATTTGTACTATATTTTAATATAATAATTAATATTCAAATATGAAAAAATAAATGAGACCTTAGAGCTGGACGAATGTAGTATAATTTTTCTTTTGTTCATTATTTTCATCCTAATGTAATTTAAGATAATTTTTTTTTTCTGTTTTTTTTTTAAATCTAAAACATAATTTTATATTTGTTGAATATTTTATTGCTAGTTTTATAAAATATTAAAGCAAAACAACAAAAAATTCTCCTTAGGTTTACCAAATCTGCTGAAAACCTACCGTAGTCCTAAAACTCCAAAAAACCTACTCATAGTTTGTAAAACGTTGCAAAAAATCCCCAAACCGTTAGGATTCAACGGAGGTTGTATATCACAAATGCAATTTTGGTCCATAGAGTGATATATTTCTGTATAAAATTACTAAAATACCCTTATTGACTACTTTTTACAACAACTTCTTCTTCCTCGTTCTTCTTCTTCCTTATTTTTCTTCTTCCTCATTCATTTTTTTTTATATTTTAAATCCGCTAAACACAACATAAATTTTGCCAAATTTATCACAATTAATTGATCGGACATGAAGATGGAGATGAGAATGCGTAAGTTATTATTCACCGTCGATTTCTCTTCTATTTTACCAAACCCAGAAACACTTCTTATTCTATTTTTACCAAACCCAGAAATCTAGAAATTCAATTTGACATTAAGATTTGAAATCAATCCAAGAAGAAAGAAAGAACTTGCTGGTGGTTGCAATCGTTTACGAAAGAATTAGGGAGAAAAAATAAAGAATAAAGAAAATTGGGGAAAAAGAGATAGAGAAAAAAAAAATTGGAGAAAAAAAAAACCTGATGTCTAACCATTTCTTTCTCCTCTTCTTCTTTCCCTTATCTTCTTTATTCTCTTTCTTTTCTTTTTCCCTGCTCCAGTTGTTTCTGTTCGTCATCTTCTTTTTCTTCTTATTCTTTTGCAATTCTTCATTCTTCAAAGAACAATTGGAGATGAAGAAAAAAAAAAAAAATTGGGGAAAAAAGAAGAAAAGAAAGAAACGGGTGGAATTGCTATGGCCTGAAAAAGAATTGGAGAAGAAGAAGAGAAAAATTGAGGAAAAAGAAGAAAGGAAAGAAGCTGGTGGAACTTTTATGGCCTGAAAAAGAATTAGAAAAGAAGAAGAGAAAAATTGAGAAAAAAGATGTGTGAAGAAGAATTTGGGGAAGAAAGGAAGATGGAAGAAAAAATTGTAGAGAAGAGAAGAAGAGAGAAACCACAGGGACATAACAGTCTGATAAAGCTAAAATTTAACGGCGTCTTTAAAAGAAGGGGGCGAGTGTGCAATGTTTTACAAACCGAGTAGGTTTTTTTGAGTTTTAGGACTACGGGGTTTTTAGCAGATTTGGTAAACCATGGGATTTGCTGTTTTGCCAAATATTAAAAAATATTTTATACACATTTATAACAATTTTGAATTTATTTTTAAATTTTTGGATGATATTGATAGTTTTAATGTATATTTTATAAAATTTTTAGTTTTAAAAAGATTTTGTGCATTCTTTTAATGAATGTAATATTAATAATTATTTAATTTTTGTTTCTTTTTTTAATTACTCCCTTATACGGACAGTAACATAATTTAAATAAAATACCAAGTAATTAAATATATATATTAATAAAAATAATATATATTAAATTAAAATAATTAAATAGTTGCATATATATTTGTTAATATATTTATAAAATCATTTATTTCAAATATATTTAATTTATTAAATCTGATGAGCCAAATACAACTTAACCTTAGTAGGTCTGCACATAATCGGCTCCTTGGTGTGTTGGTCAAAGCACGATCCGAAAATTTTTTAATCTATTTTTTTAGATCCAAACACAACTTTTTTTTGTATCAAATTTGAATCGAATTTTTGGATTGTATATATTTTTTCCAACTTTATTAATAAATATACATTTTGCTATTTTTCTTGTCCAAACACAATTTTCTTTTTTTTAATTAATATGGATCCCACCGTACATTACAAATACTCTAATATTTATATTTATTGACATCAATACTATTATATTAATTTATACATCTATTATAAACAATACCCAACTATTAAAACAAATACACAATTATCCAATTAAAAAATGGTTTGAACTAATACATTTATTAAAGAATACACATTCATTCTCTCTTATAGGGTTTTTTCTATGTTCTCTTTCGATCGTTCTCTCTTAATTATGGATAATCCAAATGGCGCAAAATACTAACAATGGTGCTATAGCTGAAAACAGTAAAGAGGTTTCTACTCCTATTGTGCTTTTTGTGGCGGTTAGCCCATAGTTGGGGTGAAAATGCCTATGGGGGACAATCTTTATGCAGATTCACCATTATTTGATTCGGATCTTCACAAATTCATAGTTCCAAAGATATGCGGGACTTTTGATGGTGAGATTACTCTATTTCTTATCTTCGTGTACTGATAAATGTAAACCCTACTCATTTATAGATTTTGATTTTTGTCCTCTTTGAGGTGCTGAAATCTTCTGATATCTATTACGTTTGATTGTGTTGGATTCCGATAATGAGTCTCTCTCTACAACCCTGGTGGTCATAAACCCTAAAAGGGTTGACAAAGATATTTTTGTCAAAAAAAAATGTGCTTTTGTGGCCTGTGAAGTACTCCTTGAATTCTTGAGGATCTGTTGTCCTTTTGCCATGCATTGTCCGAGTATTCTAAAGTATACTTTTTGTTGCTTTTGTTATAAGCAATTGAAGTTGAGATTTGTATTTTATGCCTATTATGTTCAATCTAGGTTGTTTGACGTGTGTGTACTGTATATTGTTTATGGAGACTTAGGGTGTGTTTATTTAAATGATTGTATTATTATAGATAAGATGATTTCAATCAATTATATAATCACGAGATTAATTAATATGATATTTACTTTGATTGATTAAACTTTAGATTAAATTGTGCTATGTATAAAAATTTCAAAAAAAAATTGAATTATATTTCAAAGTAAAATAAAAATACAATTCAAATAAATATTAAACAAAAATATATTATCATATTTATGTAAAATGATTTTAAATGTTTAAAAAGTTAGATAATTTAGAAATTTATTAAGTAGATTGAATAATACTAGGAGAGGGATTATACTATTAATCCTACAAAATGCTACTATAGTATCAGATGCATAATTATCCCAGGCTCCAATACTTTAAAGTAAATATAAGATTATAGTCGATTAAAAAAATATATATATTATCCACCCTAATCCCATGTAGTAAACGCACTCTTAGTGTATAAATGATGCAACCCATATGTGCATTCAAATTTTTACATACACAAACCTCACTTGATGAATATTATCATCTGAGAGTGCATTGCTAGGTTTTTTTGATGTGTGTAATGGATGTTTATAGAGGCTTAGGGCGCGTTTACTTCCAATGATTGTATTATAATAGTATGAATAATTTCAATAGATTAAATAATCAAATGATTAATTAATATAATGTTTACTTTGAAGGATTAAATAACATATAAAATTATATTATGTTTACTTTTTTAATTATACTACATGATTAATTTTTTTTACCCAAAATATCCTTGATAATCCTATTATAAATTATATAATTTGTTTTATACGTACATTTTTTTTTCCTTTCTAAGTATAGCAATATAATATATAATAATCCATTAAAATTTAATTATGATATCATTATGATATGTATATAATTTGATATAGTAATTCTTATTATAAATTAAATATATTTAATTTTATCTTCAAAATTATAAATTAGCTTTTAGCAATATAAAACTCCTTCCGTCATTCAAATCTATATTTACTTTCTTTTTTTGGTTGTCATTGAAAAATATTCTCGTTTCCTTTTTAAGTAAAAAATTATTACATTTTTGTACTTTTTTTTTACTATAAAAGAAAAAAGTAACTATTATTACTCACTTTTATTAAAATCTGTGTCGGGTCAAATGAGCACTAATTTGTAGGACGGAAGGAGTATATCTCATTCTTATTACTTTATATTTGTTGATTAAGATAATATATATATATAATTACTTTTCAAATGAATTCAAAATAATTTTAAATAAATATTAAACAAAAATATTATTATTATTATTATTATTTATATATAAAATAATTCTAATATATTTCACTATAATTTTTTTTTTATCAAATAAATTATTACAAATACTTAATTTTCTAACAAAGTTACTTATTTCATACATTCAAATATGTTCGATATTTAAATATATAGTTGATGAATTGCCACAAAAATCTGAAGCTACTGCGTGCGCGAAGAAGACCTGGAACTACTCGAAAAGAAAAACTGCACTAGAGCTAAGGAAATGAAATGAATAGGACATAAAAAAAAGTTAAGAATAATGGTAGTTTAG